GAATACCAAGAACAGTATTTCAATTTGGCTTTTTTTTTCGTTTGGGTTTTTAGCTTAACTTGGCTTGGCTTTTGTTTTTACTTTTCGGCTGGGCTTGTACACTGAGTTCATTAAGGCTAAGAATTTTGGGTATAATGCTTATTTGAGAATGTTTGTAACAGGCAAGGGCGGGAGAATTGAAATTTATATATTATATATCGAATCCATTAGCTATAGAATCCATTTCGTTAAGCCATACGCGCCTGATGCAGAATATTTCGATAACTTCTCATCGATAAATATCATTACTTTAACTCAGCTTTAAAGAAGACTAGAAGAGAACTTTTCATACTCATCATGTGAAGTATGAATAATACCAACTCTAATATTTCATATTGCAGAGTATCTCCCAGTCAGTCACTGTCTGAGCACTCCACACTTTTACTTGTGTCTGCTACAGTTTTTGTAGTTCGATAGTTAACTTTTTGTTTGCAGTCTTGTGTGTATAACTCGAACGTGTTCTAGTAAAAAAAAAAAATAAAACTCATGAGCCCTGAAATGGAAATGGAAATTGTGATGGAAATACGGATGCAAACGTAAAAGCGAATGCGAATGCTGTCATAAAAATAAGGCAATTCGCAATGTGCTTTGGGATCGCTGATAAGAAACAGATTTACCAATTTCGAGCCTCGGCTACTTTGCTGCTGCTGCTGATGCCGATTGCCAGAAATGTGAGCTGCATGTGATTTACGCAAAACTTCCGCACTTTACGATTAAACTAGAACTTTTAGTGCGCACTTTATGTTTAATTTGCTTAATTGATTGAGAAGCCCCTTGAGTTATGTACGTCCGGCTTTTCATTTGTCATTCCCATCAGGCATAGGCCACAAGCGATGTTACCTCACCGATTTCACATTCGCCTGGCTGTTCAAGGGTAATAGGCGTGCAAATGGACTGCTCTGTCATGCTGGGCTGTTCAAAGTTCAAGGACTCGTGTCCTGGCACCCAACTGGGCGTTGTCCAAGTCAGCTAACTGTCAAAAGCTCGGAGAGCAACTCATAAATTTGAATAATGAAAAGTCAGCTTGGGCCGCCGCTGAGACTGAAACCCGGCGAGAGATTCTCATTTACATAATTTTACGATTCATATTGTTTCACTACATGTTACACAAACTGAGCTGAGCAATAAAACAGTATAATCGCTATATTTGTACGTGCCGTATTTTAAACAGAAAGATTCAATTAATTTCGGAGTGTTAAGCCAGAGAGCATGATAGAAATGAATACGGAAAATCCGTATACAAATTCATTTTTCGCTCGCTTTTGTATTTACTAACATAATAAATAGCATAAATAAGTAATTAGAGCCAAGACACGAACCTGTTATAATTTATGGCACATCATAAAAGTATGCTGCATTTTATGGCACGAGAAATGCAATGGGCAATAAAATAATAATGTAAAA